GTACAAACTAGTCCCACTTTGTCTCTTTGCTCTATATTTAGTAATTATATTAAAGAATTATACTTTCTGTCACTTCAACTTTTGGGTCCTCCATATTTGTCAGAAAGCATGTTTGGATATAACAAGAAAATATAAGCCATCCCTGGATCTTGTTATTCCTTGAACTTGTATCCAACAGATCTTCATCCAGATTTTTCTAAAAGGAAGTCTATACCTTGCTAAATAGAATGTGGTCAGGATACCAAAAATTAAAATAAATGTAGAATCCTTTAGTAATGTAGAATTCCAGACCTCCTCTGCTCAGACAGAATGTGCCTTTTGTAAAATGGTGCCAACTTGATGATTCTTTGAGGCAACAGAAGCTCTGATGAACTGTATCAGCTTCCAATTCCCATAGTTGATCTATTTGGCACTCACCCTCAGTGTCATGACCCCAAATTGAAGCTGTATGAGAAGTCACAGACTATTTGATGGACATTTTCCTGTTATGGTTTTCCTGATGTCTCCAGAAATATCATACAATTTTTTTCCCTAATTCTCATGTGCTAGATACATGGCTCTCTCCTAGGAGTACAAATATTTTAAAATAACATCAAATGACACATGTATGGCTTGCTATGTTCAAAGATTCATATTCATTTAAGAAAAAAATAGCTCTGCATGATCAGCTACTTTAATCCTTGCTGCCTTCCCAATAGTGAGGAATACAGGCAGTGTTGGGAATTTCCACTTCTCAGACAAGTTTTGGAACTGGAAGTGCACAAATTCTCCCCACACAGGGAATAGCCTCTCCATCATCTTCCTAAAGTATTACATGAATTTAACTCCCACCAATGTATGCACCATCTTCTTTTCTTTTATGCACTCTGTCATTTTTCCCTTTCTTATTCTTCATTCCCAATGCTCACATCCTTTTTTTTTATTTTTCAACTTTCCTATCTGAAGGTGTTTGAAGATGGAATCAATAATTCAGCTCTTCTAGTGATACTCCTAATGAAATATCTTGCTGAGCCTTTATCCAATATACCACTCATATATCTTTCATTTCTTTTTCTTATTAGGTGCCTTCCTTCATGTGTTAGAATATACCAGTGTACATGCTTTAAGTAAACATTCAAACAGCAAATTGTATAGGACATGTAACTCTTACCTTCTTTATGTTTATTTATTTTCTGTTCACCTCTTTGATCTTCAGCTGCAGTAAACTTGCCAACACAGCTCAGAGGAAGAGGCTCAGAAACACTCTGGTAAAATTAACATTGATAATGAGTTGCAGAAAGATTTCCTTCTTGCTTATTAAGAAGAGATCTAAATTCCCATTACTGAAATCAAGGGTACTGAAAAAGCAGACAAGGATTTATTGAAAACTAAAACCTTTACAAAGAGAACCTCTAGAACAAGAATAATGTGTCTTCTCATGGCTATTGTCTCTGTTAACACAGCATGGAAGAAGAGAGGGAGACATAAAAAAGTCAGTAGATTTAACTCCAGGGCACACAAAGAACTTAAAGAACTTAACACCAAAAAGGGGAAAAATAACCCAATAACCCAATTAAAAAGGGGGCAAAGGAACTGAAAAGATATTTCATGGAAGAAGAAATACAATGGTAAAAAATATATAAAAAATATTCAGCATTTCGAGAAATTTAAAATAAAACTATAATGAGAATCCATCACATTCCATTCAGAATGGCAATTATAAAGAATGCAAGTTACAGTAAATGTTCATGAGGATGTGGGAGAAATGTTTACTCCTTCATTGCTGGTAGGACTGTGAATTGGTGCAAGCTCTATGGAATACCGTATGGATCTTAGAAAAATTGGAAGAGAACTACCAATTATGCCAGTTTGCCTACTCCCTGGACTATAGCCAAGGGAGTTAAAATAAGCATACTATAGTGACACAGCAACATCAATGTTTAGCCCCTCAATTCACAAACACCAAGCTAAATAATCAAACTAGGTTCCCTTCAACAGATGAAAGAATCAAAAAATGTGATATACATACAATTGAATATTACTCAGCTACAATGATGAATAAAACTTTCATATTTTCTGTGAAATGGACAGAACTAGAGATTATCAGGATAAACAAACAAACAAAAAAAAAAAAAAACAATGGTCGAATGTTCTCTCTGATATGTGGATGCTAATCCACAACAAAGGAGGGTAGAGAAGAATAGAAGATCATTGGATTAGAAAAAAGGAATAAAAACAAGGGAAGGGAAGTGAGTAGAGAAAGTCAATAGAGTTAATTGGACTTAACTTTCCTTTTTTTTTTATAACTGAATACATGGCCAGTGTAATTCCACATTATGTACAAACACAAATATTGGATTCTAACAAAATGGGTTACACTCAATGTATGTATAGTATGTCAAAATACACTCTGCTATTATGTATATATAAAAACACCAAATAAAAATTTAAAAAATAAAATAAAATGATAAAAGATAAAAAAATCAGTAGAGCTGAGGATAGTTTTGGAATTCCATGTGTGGCCCTGGAGACATAGGGCATTGCAAATTCTATCCTACATATTCTTAGTGGCTGACCAGGGAACCATTTCTTCCAGGTTTCCTTTCTGCACGCTGACTGCATTGTTGATTCATAAAGTTTTTTATACCCGCACAATCCATCTGCATCATTATTTGACTGGGGCATTGGATTTAACTTGTCTCCCTCCTTGTCTCTCCCAGAAAATCCCTCCATCTCTTTTCAGCCCTGCTCTCCATTAAACCCTGTATCCCTCCTCCCATCTTCTCCCCCACAAGATCCCATTCACAGATGCCTGGAGGAATTAGAGACGATTTTACCCTGCCCTACCACCATTTCTGAGGGACCCCTTCCCTCTTTCGACCTTGTCTGGTTCTCAGATGGTAGCTCCTTTATACATGAAGGGGTTAAAGCAGCGGAGTATGCTATCATTTCCCTCTCATCTATCATAGAGGCAAAACCTCTCCCACCCAATATCACCAACCAAAAAGCTGAAATCATAGTTGCCACAAGGGCACGAGAGCTAGAAGAGGGAAAATCCCTCTCCCTATGTACCCATCTCCCATGCAGCCATTTGGAAGAAAGGGGGCTATTGAGCACAATGAAATAGGATAATCAGAAACTATTTGGGAAACTTATACTATCACTGCCTACCCAAATGAACATCACAAATTTAAACAGACCCAAATCAAGCAATGAAATTGAAGATATGCTCAAAAACCTACCAACAAAGGAAAGCCCAGGACCTGATGGAAGCTGAGCCCAGTTTACAGTTTTTTCTTGTAAAAAGAGTTAATGGGGAAACCCCTGAAACAATTCCATTAAGGAGAAATGGAGGGAACCCAGCCAGACTCATTCTATGAATGCTGCATAACCCTGATTCCAAAACCAGATAAAGACACATCAGGAAACAAAACATGAGGCCAATAATCCTCATGAAAATAAATGCAGAAGATCTTAATAAAACATGGGTAATTCACTTACCAAAGCACAGGAAAAACATAGGACACCACGATCCCATGCGATTCATCTCGGGATGCAATTTGGGCTCCATAGATGCAAAACAACAGATGCCATTCACCATACCAACACACATACAGACCAGAATCCCAGGTTGTCTCAATAGAGGCAACACAAGCATTTCACAAAATAAAGATTCGAAACACAAGAAAAACAAAGGATAGTAGGAACATACCTCAACCTTGTAAAAGCTTTTTATGGTAAACGTGAGGTCAACATCATTGGAAATGGAGACAACACCAAGCATGTTTCTTAGACATGAAACGAGACAGGGATGCCCCCTTTTATCATTTCTGTTCCAAGCAGTCTATGTCACACTAGTCAGTGCTATTAGGCCAGAGGAAAAAAAATCAACAAAAATTACAGACTTCAGGCGTACATTTGATCAAAAGGACTTTAAAATGTCTACAGAATATTTACTCAGATAATAGTAGAATATTCACCATTCTCATAGAATGTTCTCATAAACAGGTTCCAGAGTAGGCTATAAAGGCTATTCCTAGCATATACACAAAGCAATTCCTCACACATTATCTGATGATATTAAAATAATATTTCAAACTAAGACCAAAAAAACACAGAAACAATACACCTTCTTAGAGAATGAGCAATATACTTTTACCCAATGTATGGCTCATCCACAAATCAGGTCAGGGAAATATTAAAAGACCCATAAAATCAATTAAAAAGAGAAATATAATCCAGATCTAGAGGGTACAATGAAAGCAGTGCTAAGATGGAAATTTATAAATGTGGCTACATACCATAAAATATAAGAGGGATCTCAACTAAATGAACTACAGTGGAATCTCCAGGACTTAGGGAAACAAGAACAATACAACTCCAATTCCAGTAGAAACAAAGGAATGATAAATATTAGTATAAAAATTAATAACATGGAAAATGTTTGAAAAAATACTAAGGATCAATGGAACCAAGAGTTGGTTTTTGAAAAGAAACAAGATTGATAAAGCCTGCACCAAACCAAACAAGTAAAGAGAGAGAAGATATAAATGAATAAATTTAAGACAAAAGAAGTGGATCTTACAACACACCTTTCTGAAATCCTGAGGAACATTAAGGACTACATTGAAAAGTTAAATGCCAATAAATTCAGAGATGATTTACATGATGAAATTTAGAATATGTGGAAGTAGCAGATAAATGTCTCTCTCTATATGACCTACAAAAATTGATTCAAGAGAATAACTGGAAATTTAAACAGACCAATAATATGTCATTATATTGAAGCAGTTATGAAAAGCCTTTCAAAAAAATGCAAGTACCAGAGAGATTCATGGCTGAATTTTGCCAGACCATCAGATGAGAACTAACACAGCTACTCCCCCAAAGATTACATGTGATAGAAATGAAGGACACTGGCAAATGCATTTTAGGAGGGCAATATCATGAAGGCAATATCACTCTTTTAGGAAAACTACATAAGAACCAAACAAGAAAAGAAAAAAATTTAATAATATTCTTGAAAAAGGTATTTGCAAAACCCTCATGGAATGAATGAAAATAATTCAAATAACACATTGTAAGCATCATACAACAACATAAAATTGGATTAATTAGAAGAATGCAAAATGGTTCAACACATGCAAATCAATAATTGCAGAAAACCACAGAGACACAAGACAAAAGTCTCATGATGATCTCAATAGATATAGAAGAAGCCTCTGACAAAATTCAACAGTCCTTCATGAGATGTCTTAGCAAACAGAAGTTCTTAGCAAAAAAAGAACTTCCTATAGTATTACAAACTTTCTATATTCCAAATCCAAAGTAAAGGGCAAACTGAATGGAGAAAAATCTACAGCATTTCCTCTAAAATCAGAAATAAAAATGAGGTGTGCATGTTCACCAGATTTCACATTTCACCAGATCCCCTGAAATTATAGTCAGAGCAATTAGACAAGGGAAGTAAATAAAAAAGAAGTCAATTTTCCCTATGTACAGATCATGTTAACCAATTTTAGAAGATCCTAAAGGCTCTACCAGAAGAAGTTAAGATGGGATATAGAACTTTATCAAACTCTCTGAAAACAACTTCAAAATACAAGCATGCATAATACAATACAAATACAAACAACCCCACTGAGACTGAAATAGGGATAACATCTCCATTTATAGTAGAAGCAAACTCATACATAGACATAATCCAATCTAAAGTGGCAAATGGCAAAATCATAAAATGAAGTTGAAGAAGTCTCAGTAAGAAAACAAGAGACATTGTAAATTAGAGAAACATCTAATATTATAAAAAAGCAGATTTAATGTTGGGAATATATCTATATTCAGAAAGTGGTTCACTGATTTTATGCAATTTCTATCAAACCTCTGATGATATTCATGGAACTGGAAAAATTATCCTGAAATTCATATCATTGAAAAAAAGACCAAAAATTGAAAATGAAAACTTGAAACATAAGAGCAATGCAGAATGCACTACAGTACACAATTTCAAAGCATAACACAGAGCAATAGATAGGAAAACACATGACCCTGGAATTAAAACAATCAGAACTGACTGAAGACATAGATACAAATCCACAAATCTGCAGTCATCTGATTCCTGGACAGAAATGCCAACAACAAATGCATGGGAAAAGAAAGCTTTAATAAAAAAAGGCCAAGCAATAAAATAAATGATAAAGAGAGTAAAAAGAAGAATCTATAGAAGAGGATAAAATCTGTCTACAACTCATCTGAGAGGGCATCAATAAGAATATTCAAACAATACAAAACACTTAATGCCATAAATGCAATTAAGTCAATACCAACTAAACAAACATTTTTCAAAAGAAAAAACACAAAAGATAAAATAAGTAAGAAAAAATGATCTAAGTATCTACTAATCAAGGATATGCAAGTCAAAACTACACAGAGATTTTCCTCTGAATTCAGTTAGAATGTTAAAGACCAAGAATATAGACAATAAATGTTGGTGAGAATGTGGGAAAAAGGTACATTCATACATTGTTGGAGGGACCACAAGTTAGTGAAAACACTCTGGGAGGGAGAATGGAGATTTCTCAAAAAACTGTGATTGAAACCACCATATAGACATATACTCATCAGTTATATGACCAAAGTGGAAAAATCAGCACACCAATAGAGATACAAATACATCAGTGTCTATAGAAAACAACACACAGTAGCCAAGACATATTGAATGGAATATAAATGTGATATACATACATATATATATATATATATATATATATATATATAAGTTTTACTCTGTCTTTTCTAGTGAGATTTAGATATGAGCCAATAAATAGATGGAATAATTGGGAATGTCATACAAAATGCAATAAGTCAAATGAGAAAACCAAGCACAGAAAATTTTTCTCTCATAGGCAAAAGCTAAAGCAACCTAGGAAAAACAATAGTGGAATGGATATCACGAAGATAAGGAAAGATTAGTGAAGTAGAAAATGATTGATGGGGAAGTAGAAAGGTTAGATTCCTGGAGGGAATAGGCAATGAATGTGACATAATTACTCGAGGTGCATGTGTAAGTATATTATGGTGATCTCCACCTTTATGTATCTCAATAAGCACTGATAAAAAATTAAAAAATAAAGGAGTGGAAGGGTGTCCAGTTGAGGAGAGGAAGGTGAGGGAGGAGAGAAAGGAAAGGGAGGAACTTGGGTCTGAAATGGTGCAAACAAAATGCATGTATGATTATATCACAATGAACCCAACTTATGTTCAACCATAAGGCACTTTATAGAAAAACACATGGTATTGGTTAAAATGGATATCCATATGTTGAAGAATGGATATAGATCTCTATGTCTCCCCATGCACAAGACAACACAAAATGGATACAAAACAGACTGAGTAATAGAAATGCTGCTAATGCTTCTAGGTAATCCAGGGAAACATCTCATTATATACCACAGACTAAGGCTTTATGTACAGAAATATTAAGCAGAGGAAATAATGGTACAAAGATACAAAAAGAAGTGCATCAAAATAAAATTTTCATAAGACTAAAGGGACCCACCAATATAGTGAGGAGAAAGTTTATAGCATAGAGGGCAATCTTGCTGGCTAATCTTTGATAAAGGATTGGTATATTAAATATATAAACAAGTAAGAAATTCAGCACTGGAAATGCAAACAACCCACTTAATCAACGCAACATAAACAGGTCACCAAGGAAAATGTATAATTGCTCAGCTTCTATATGAAGTGCTATTCACTGTCTTTATCCATCAGGGAGTTGCAAATCAAAATTCAATTCAGAGTCTATATTACCCCATTCAGAAAGGCAATATTCAAGAATTCAAGAAATAAACACCAATAATGATTGGGGAATAGGAATTCATCAACATTATTGGTGAGGATTCATATTATGACACCCACCATGAGAATCAGGAGGTTACTCCTAAAACTAAAAAGACAAATATCAATTGGCCCAGCAATACCATGTCCCACTATTTACAGAAAAATAATAGTCAGTGTACACACAATGGACTAGTTTTCAGGCCCAAGAATTGTGTCATGTAGTAGAAAAATTGATGGAACTGGACAAAACCCTATTGAACCAAATAAGCCAGACACAGAAAGGAACATGTCATTAGTGGAAAGGTTTATCACCAAATTTGAGAGAAGACAATTAGTGAAAAGGGAGAAGAGAGAAAACTGAAGGAGGAGGACATGCTAAGGCTATATTTTGGGAGTAATATGCTTCACACTAACTTATACACATATGAGAATATGGCACAGTGAAACCCTCTATTCTGTATAATAAAGGTGCACAGGTCCAAATCTATAACTATCTTAATCATTTTCATTAGTACTAAGATGAAATAATTATTTGAACTCTTACTAAGAAGGGAAGTGATGAAATTTATTAAGTATCTAAAATGTGTAGGCATATATTTGAATGTGTTCTTATATTTCACAATCATAAAATGATCATGGTGATGTTATCTCACACCCTATTCCCAATCCCTCCAGAATATGAGGAGATGAATGGTAGACAAGTATTTTCTCTGGAGAGAACATAGTCCTCTCCTAGACCATTATGGTGCTGGCCTCATCCCTTCCTTGATGGGTCCACTTAAATGTCACACATAGAAATACCTTCACTGATTCCAGAATTCCACTCACCCACTTCTCCATGTCGTAACTATTTGAATACTCCATATATGTGTGATTTATATGTCTTTCAACTATTAGTTAAAATGAATTTCAAGTGTTTTAGAAGACCCTTGTCTACAGTTACTGCTATCCTTAACTTCACTAATTCTGTTGTTTGCAGTACATCCTTTGTGTTCACTCTCTTATTCAATCTGCACAGTAATATTGCTCTTTATTAAAGACTACTTCCTATTTTTCTGCCTTCTAACCTTCAAATTCACCTTTCGATGTATTCATTTGGTTTCTTTCTATTTCTTTCCCTCCACAACAGCATACATGACAATCTTTTCTTCTACCAACATCTACAAATCTCAGTCCTGCAAATAATTCTTTCCTGGTGCTACACTCATTTGCTATTGTGAACTACTAGGGGCCTTATATTTCTTTTTAGGATCAGTATCACCATTATAATGATATGGAGGATGATATATTAAAAAGGGGAGTGGGAAAATTTTGTTACAAGGAGCCTTACCTTCGAATCAGGTGACGAAGGAGGAGTACCATGCAAGCTCTTGACTTTGATTCTTCTGGCAGGAGCAGTCCAAAATATACATTCTGCTCCTTTATCAGAATCATTGTTGTCACATGAGGCTTGATTTTCTTCCTTGTCCTGGTCACGTTTTGCTTTCATGAAAAAAAAGTAAAATACATGTGAAACTCTCTGTAATTTCAAGTCAATAAACAGTATAAGAATGGAAAGTCACCAAAGAGATTACCATCATTCTTGGATTGCCAAAAATATTTACTAACTTCTCCTTTTCCTTCACAGTCAATCTAGGAAGGGAAAAAAATGATAAATCTAAGGAGCAAGCATTACAAACAGGTTCTTCTCAGAAACACACAAATCATTTTATAAAATAGACCACATCTGAGGCTACAAAGCATCTCTAAGTCATTCAAAAAATTAGAAAATTACCTTGCATTCCATCAGATCATCATGGAATGAAGCAACATAATAAAAAAATAAAAGCTTCTCTAATAACTATAAGCTAAATAGTATGCTACTGAATGACTGAAGGATAGCAGAGGATGTCATGGATAAAATATAAAGATATATAAAATAAATGAGAATAGTCACTCAACATATCCAAAACATTGAGACACTATGAAGGTGATTCTGTGAGGAGAACTCAGAGCACTGATTTCATTCATTAAAAGAATAAAACTCTCCAAATAAATAACCTAAGATTACATCCCATAGCCCTAAAAAAAGAAGAGCAAATTAACACTAAATGTAGCACAAGATGAAAAATAATAAAAATCAGAGTCAAGTCAATGAAATGGAAACAAAAAAAGTTTCTAAAATAACAATGATACAAAAAGTTGTTCCTTTTCAAAAAAATAGATAAAATTGATAAACCTTAAGCCATGCTAATCAGAGAAAGGATGAAAAAATTCAATTTTTTAAAATTTATGATGTATACGGAAATATCACATCAGACAACATTGGATTGAAATACAGAGGCTAATCAGAAAATATTTTGAAAACTTATACTCCAATCACATAGAAAATCATAAAGACATTGAGAAATTTCTACATAAAGATTACCTACCCAAACAGAGCCTAGACAACATAGAAAATTTAAACATCAATTTCAAGCAATGAAATAAAAGATATTATCAAAAGGCCAGCCACAAAGAAGAGCCAAGGACACATGGAATCTCAACTTATTTCAATCATATCTTCAATGAAGAATTAACATCAATCCTCTCCAAATTATTCTATGGAAAAAAATGTAGAGGGACACTTCCAAACTCCTTCTATGAAGTTAGAGTCACGCTGATTTCAAAATCAAAGACACATTAAGGAAAGAAAAATTCAGTCCAATAAGTCTGATATACATAAAAGGAAATATTTTTAATAAAATACTGGGAAATCGCATACCAAAACACCAAAACACATGAATAAGATAATGCACCACAAACAAGTGGTTTTCACTCCAGGAATGCAATGTTGGCCAATCGTAGGGAAAACAACCAATGTAATTCATCACATCATGACACAAAAAGACAAGAATCCTATAACTATCTCAATAGAAGCAGAAAAAGCCTCTGACAAGGTTAAAATAAAAACACCAGAAACCAGGAGAATAAAAACATATCTCAGAGAGATTCATGGCTGAATTCTGCCAGACCATCAAATGACAACTAATAAAGATACACACCCCCCCCCCAAAAAAATGACATGGGATAGAAAAGAAGGAGACTGGCAAACACATAATATTTGCGAAATTATAGGAAAACTGAATAAGAAAGAAACAAGGAAAGAAAATTATTTAATTATATACTTCAGGAAGATATTTCCCAAAACCCTCATGGAATACTTGAAGACAATTTCAACAACACATTTAATCATCATAGAACAACATAAAATTCAATTATTTAGAAGAATGCAAAATGGTTCAACATATGCAAATCAATGCAGTACACCACATACACAATTGAGGACAAAAATCTCATGATCATTACAATAGAAGTAAAAAAAAAGCCTCTGACAAAATTCTACCATTCCTCATGAGAAAAGTCCTAAGAAACAAAGGACATCAAGAACTTGTTATAGTATTACAACAGTCATATATGGCAAAGGCAAAGCCAAAGCCAATGGCATACTGAATGGTGAAAATCTATGGCATTTCTTCTAAAATGAGAAACAAGAATAAGCTCTGCATGCTCACTACTCGTGTACAAAATAGCACCTGAAATTTTAGTCAGAGCAATTAGACAAGGGAAGCAAATAAAAAGTAAGAAGTCAAATTATCCCTTTTTACATATTATGTGATCCTCTTTTAGAAGATCTTAATGGCTCTCCCAGAAGAAGTTAAGATGGGATAAACAAACTTAGCAAAGTAGCCAAAACCAAAATCAACATACAAACATAAATGATATATGTATACAATAAAATGAATGAAATCACAATAAAAACTCTACTCACAATAGAAATAAATTTACATATAGGAATTAACCAAACTAAGGGATTACATAACAATTCAAAGAAAATTGCATAATTATAAAAAGGAAATTGCACAAGATAAAAGAAAATATAGAGACCTCTAATATTCATGAAAAGACAGACAATACTGAGAAAACATCCACATACATAAAGTGGTACAGAGTTTATGCAATCCCTAGCAAACCTCCAATGACAGCTAGGAGGCTGAGACATGAAGATCAAAAGTTCAAAACCAGTCTCAGTAATGGTGAGCGCTAAGCAACTCAGTGAGACCCTGCCTCTAAATAAAATAGAAAATAGGGCTGGGGCTGGGGCTCAGTAGTTGAGTGCCCTTGAGTTCAATCCCTGGTACAAAAATGAAATAAATAAGTACAGAAACTTCTATAATTTGAATCTTAGAATATGACATGAGGTCTTGGAGTGAATATGTTAAAACATAACTATGTAAAAACAATCTTGTAATTAATGTTGTACAAGATGGTGAAAGTTTTTGTTTTTAGAACTGATTATTACTTGTAATATATCCTTCAGATGGATGAAGAGATTTAAATACTCTTTTAATGGAAGTACTCAGAAAACATGGGGGCAATATCATTGTCATAGAAATTTTGAAAAACAGATTTAAAATTTCTCAATTTTCACAGTTCTTAACAATATCTAGTGTAAATTTAGAACCAAGGATTGAAAAGGAGAAAAATCATTACCAGAAATTATGTGATACTAAAATATAAAGTGGCTCAGAGAACAACTACTACAGGCAATGTGCTGTGCAGATTTCAAAAAAAATCACCATGATAATTACCAAAACTAATTAATTAAAAATTAATTTATATCCAAATATCATGTAAGTCACATCAGTAGGACTTAAGTCACAGTAAATAAACTTAAACAAAAATCCCTGACCAATTCTCATTATTTCTCTGCAGCTGGAAGGCGCTACATAATCCAGTTCTTGTATCACTACGTTTTTTCCAGCTGCTACCACCCTTAAGTGCTTGCAGAACATCACTATGTACAAAACTATAAAAAGAAAATAAAGAAAAATTCAAATGTAAAAAACATTGTTTATTTTGCAAAATTCCAACATAAAATAACCAGAAGATCACTGCTAATTGTAATGGTACACACTTCACAAAACAAAATTCATACCAAGAACAATAATTTCACAATGGTGCACTTTACCTTGGTATCAGATTTATTGGTGCCCACATTGTATGTAAGCCCATCTTCAACAGAACTAGATTCCCTGGAAAATCATTAGAGTAAAAAAGAAAAACAACATTGAGTGAGCCCAGGTTTTCAAAGAAATAAAAGCTGGTCAATATCTGGATATCACTATATTACATGATTTTTCTAGATTGATGTAATTAGCATATGACCTCTGTTTTTAAAAACATTATTTTACCCCCCCCCTCTTGACTCCATTTTTCTAATCAATGGAATAGTAAAAGAAGACATACTTAGTTCTGTTTCAAAGATAATGGCCAGGTTGACAGAGCCTAAGAATAAACCTTTTAAAAAAATGGTCCTGAAGGGTGAACTGAAAATCCAACTAATCAGAGAAATCACTTCAATTACATGAACTGAAACAGAAACTGATAACCCAGATGAGGTTTCTACCTCAGATACAATGTCTCTACTACCTTGTATCTCCAGGAATCAAAGACTAAGCCACATTAACTTGAAAATGGCACGTATAGTTTCTCAGCATGGAAACGACTCCCTGAAAAGAATCTATTGCTCCCCTTTATCCAGAAATATCATAGGAAGTTACCTGTTCCATTTAAATTGTTTGAAAGATGAACTTACAATAGAAAAAATAAATGTGTAATGTGTTATTGAGAATACTTTTCCCTGCAAGATGGAGGCATTATACATTATAAAATGCAACTCATGATCTTATATAGGTCCTACCTTATTCAGCACCACATTAAATACCAAGTAATTCAAAATTCTGTAGGCATTCAGTCACTCAAGAGGAAAGATTATTGGCAAAGTAGAGTTCTGGAAGCTGTACCTCTGTTTCCCTAAGTACTATCAAAATAACTTCCTTCCTATGGGCTCCCACTACAAAGGCCCTCTCCTGCAGGACTCAAAGGCAATCTCCTACTTTGAAACAAGGTTGGGCTCAAAGGACAAAGTTAGGAGCTCTCTCTTCCTGCTCCTGGAAAACGAGCTAAATGAGTTTCAGTCACTGACCTCAGTGTGAACATGTTATACAGCTTCTCAACTGAAGGTTCATGATGGCTCTGCCACCCAATCACAACTTTGCCCGACCCTACATAGGAATGGAATCAGTAACTTGGATGAATGTGAGCAGACATCTGTTCAGGGACATAGAAAATTGAAGTTCAGGAACTTTGAGCCCCATGATTCTTGAGGAACTCTAACCCTTCCTCACATTGCTCTCTGCTCTTCCCAGTGGCTCAAATAATTTTAAGATCTTTCCAAAGAAATTTGGATTTTGCCCATTCCTCCAATAAAGCAGAAAAGCATGCAACAGCAACTTCCCTTGGGCACCAATTTTTAAATATGACTTTATAGGTAGCTCCCAACATCCTCTGTCATTCAAGTTTGTTTGGTCTTTAACAAATTGACCACAAAACTTAATATTCTGATCTCTTTCTCAACACCTATGCCTCCAAAACTCAGTATGTTCCTCTTCAAACTTTTATTTCCTCTATTGCTTCAATTCTGATCCTCAGGATGGTGATCATGCACTACCTTCACTTTCACCTTCTTCAGTTGGGTTCAGTTGAGTTCACTAGACAAGCTCTCCTATTCTGTTGTTAAAACACTCAGCTATGTGCAAATTAAAACTACTCTGTGATTTCTTCTCACTCCAACCAGAATGGCAATTATCAAGAATACAAGTAACAATAAATGTTGGCAAGGATGTGGGGAGAAAAGGTGTACTCATACACTGTTGGTGAAACTGCAAATTGGTACAACCCCTCTGGAAAGCAGTATGGATATTCCTCTAAAAACTTAGGAATGGAACCACCATTTGACCCAGTTATACAACTTCTTGGTATATGGCCAAAGGATCTAAAATCAGCATACTATACTGAGGCAGACACATTAATGTTTACACCAGAACAATTCACAGGATCCAAGTTATGGGGCCAAGCTTAGTGCCTTTCTACAGATAAATGGATAAAGAAAATGAGGTATATATACCTAATAGAGAAATAGAAGAAATGAATGACTATGAAAATTTTTAGTAAATGGATGGATCTGGAGACTATCATGCTAAGTGAAATAAGACATTCTCATAAAACCAAAGTTTGAATATTTTCTTTGACATGTGGAAGCTAATCCAAAATAAATGTGTGGGGAGCATTAAAAAATAGAATTTCAGTGGAATAGACAAACAGGAATCAAGAGAATGGAGGGGAAATCAGCAAAGAACGGACCCTGGAATTAATCTAACATAATTTTTCTATGTACATATATGATTATATCATAGTGAAACCATGGTGCACACCTGTAATCATTTAATTTTAAAAAGTATCTATGGGAAAATGGCAGAAAGATCAGTAGAGAAAGGGAGGGCTTGGAGTGGATGAAAGTGGGGGAAGAAGACATACTGGAGACTGCATTACAACCAGATATATTCCATGCTTTTGTAATTATGTGATATAATTTCTACTGTCATGTTTAACTAAAAAGAAACAATGAAAAATAAATAAACAACAACAACAAAACCACCTACAGAAGTAGTAAAATTGTAAAATATCAGGCTAATAGTTAGGAACTTGAGTTTAGATTTTACTGTGGCACTTACTATATTCAGAAAATCACTTTAATACTTTTTAAGTTGTAGGTTGTTGATCATGACAACAATTTGCCCAGGATGATAAACAAATTTAAAAGTACTACTTTGACTAGTTAATAATATTCTTTGAAACCCTGAAATTCTCTGTGCTTTTGATGTGGTATATAGAAACAGGAGTACTTAGCTGGCAGAATTTACTTAATAGAGCAAAAGAAACTCAAAGAAAAGTAAAAAGAGAATGTCAAAAAGTGACAACAATAAAAACACAGGACAATACTCATAACACAATTATACTCACATAAAAGTTACAAGACTCTGTAGAAAAAAAGTGTTTAGATAGAACTACATAGAGGTTGTAGCCTGAAGGTAAATCCAAATTGAGATATCAGGAAATAGAGAGATCAATTGAAATATCTTCTAAAAAGATTTCAAATGTAATTAATGTTATATAACATGGCCTATACATCAATATACAAACACTTCCAATAAAATATTTTTTTTTCTCCCAGATTTGCCTTGGTCCTATAATCGTTGCTATTGTGAGATTTTTCCTCAAAGATTTGATGTTAAAAGGTATTGGTTATCAAACCACTTTATAAAATATTAAGACAAACTCTTTCAGTATTATCCTGGCTTCCCAGGTAAAGTGTGAATCAAAATGAACACATAACTCAGAGTTAAATTTCTGAATTTATCTGGTATGGATCTACATCTGGATCATAATGCCCCATGAGTCTCTATCAATCCATGAACAGGGATGATAGAATAAATTAGTCAGCCAAGCGAGCAGATGGACAAAAATCCATCTGCCATCATAGGCCAAGTACTTGTTAGTTTGGGAATCATGAAATAATCAGTTGAAATCTCTGAATGACTGTTTAAATAGTAAACAGTATGTTAGAGAAACACAGTTTCAAGCTGCTGTGATTACTATTAAGGAAAAAAAAAGTGCCTGGGTGTGGCAGAGCCTGTAATCCAAGTGATCTGGGAAGGTGAGGCAGGAGGATCGGAAGTTCAAGACTAGCCTCAGCATCTTAGCAATGTCATAAAAAACTTAGCAAGACCCTCTCTTAAAATAAGAAATAAAAATGAACTGGGTATAGGGCTCAGTGGTTAAGCACACCTGGGCTCAATCCCTGGTACCAAAAGTAAAAGAGAGAGAGAGAGAGAGAGAGAGAGAGAGAGAGAGAGAGAGAGAAGAGAGAGGGAGAGAATGAGAACAAATTCCAGGCACATGATAGGTTCTCTAGCTCAGGAAAGAATATTCAAAACACCCTCCTTTTTTCTATATGCTCTAAATACTTAACAAATACATTTTTCAATAATTTTTAGATGTAGATGGAAACAATGCCTTTATATTATTTACTTATTTTTATATGGTTCAGAGTATTGAACCCAGGGACTCACAAGTGCTAGGCAAGCACTCTAATGCTGAGCCACAATCCTAGCCCTAACAACAAATACAATTTTTATATCCATAAAATCCTACCTGGTTAAAGTTTCATTTTTAGGACTCTCATCTGTTATTAAAGAAAAGGGTAAAATTAATCAACAGTATAAAAACATGAAATAGTAAAAGTATATGAGACATATTTTATTACAAAGTATTCTTTTGGGACCATTCATGGAGACTCTTCTTGAGTGAATATTATTTAATTTACTGATAGGCAATTAAGGCACTAAAAAAAATCTCATGTTCCCTTTACAGGTTTAAATACAGGTTTAATGAAACAAAGTTAAGATTCCAGTATCAAGTTTATGTTTCCAATGACAACATTGTGGCTCACACTTGTAATCCCAATGTTCAGATGCTGAGGCAGGAGGACTGTGTGTTAAAAGCCTGCCTCAGCAATGTAGGAAAGCTCCAAACAACTCAGTGATGGCCTCTCTAAACAAAATACTAAACATGGCTGGGCTTGTGTCTCAGTGGTTAAGGGCCCCTGAGTTCAAACCCTGGTTCAAAAAAAAAAATTATAGGAAAGTGTGCATATAAAAAAGTAAACATGCTGATTAGTGGAGAACAACATGATCCCTAGACAGAGGAGCAATTCACAACCCTAGGAATTGTGAGTAAAACGTCAAAGCTGCTGTTAGAATGTACAGGATATGCCATTTGTGGAACACATTAGAATCATTTACATGATTATGAGATGTGTATACTACTTCTCCAATTGCCCTCCAGTTGAATAAGTGCAAATTATGGCATTTATTGGTTTTCCATCTCACATTTTACTTCTATGTTAATGAAAACATGAGAATGTCTATAATCTCAAGTCAATAAGGACAAGAATGACCAGACTAAAAGTATCTTACCATCTTTCTTGGATTGCTGAACATCTCCACATACACTTCCTTTTCCTTCAGGGATATTCTGGGAAGAAAGAAAGACTTTATGCATAATGAGCATTACATTTGATAAAATAATTATAATATTCAGTATTACTACAGGATACATTGGAAAGAACACAGGTTTCTGAATTATTCTGATGTACATTCCAATTACAATTCTGCCATTTAATGATCTACATTTTCACATAGGTTGAGAATTATAAGAGGTGATAGAGACATCTACAAACATTACTCCCCTAACCTCTAGTTAGTTATTACACAGATACTATGATATCCAATAGATTATTTTCTTGACCACAATAATCCTGGGTAAAAATCTGATCCATCAGTAGCTCAGTATACTTGTCAAAATCTGACATTTAAGAAATTCAAAGTAACTACTCATGTTCCCATGATTTTTATTTTCACAAAGTCCCTCTTGAGCTCAGTTTTGAGGACAATTTACAACTGAGATGGGATAGAGTCTTTTTATTCTGTATGTCAGATACCTGAAGACAAGTGATTGCATACATTTGGCTGCATCTGACAAAGGCAATAATGAATCCTTTAGGGCAATGATGGATGAATGACAGGTGCACACAGCAAATAGAAAACAGAAAGATTAATTAAAGAAGTCACCATGGAGGCACAGGTGGCTGAGGGAAATATTAAGCCTAGGGGTAAAACATTTCTAGAAAGGTAAGGGAGGAGAAAGAAACAGAAAGGGAAACATGGCCAGTCGATTGAGCATGTGTTTAAGCCAAAGAAAAAAGGAAAGAAATAAGAGCAGAGCATGGAAAGAAATAAAATACAGAATTTGAACCAAACAAATAATACTGATAATATTTATTTTGATTACACTACAATTTCTTCCTCTAAAAAATTCTATAATAAATCAGTTAGTTTCATTAACATAAATGAAATTGAATTATATAACCATAGTTATGAACCCTTGACACTATCCCCTTTGGATATAAAATCCTGCCTATAGGCCAAAATTTTTGGCTGGAGTGACCTCAGAGTGTAAACCAACCTTGGAATGTTTATAATCCAGACACATCTGTCTAAATTCAAACTCATTAATTGACTCAAACTATTTAATCAGTAGAACAAGTTACTCTAGGGATAACAGCGCAATCCTACTCAGGAGTCCATATGAACAGTATGGTTTAAGACCTTCATGGGTTGGATCAGGACATCCAAAGAATGTAACTGCCATTAATGGTTCATTTGTTCAATAATTAAAGTCCTGCATGATCTTAGTTCAGACTAGAGAAATCTAGGTCAGTTTCTAGCTATTAAAATATTTCTCCCAGTTAAGAAAGACAACAAAATTAAGGCTAATTCTACACTTTTTTCCTTAGAATAATGGATGAAATAATCTAAACTTAGCAAACCATTACTTACCCTGCCCTAGAACAGGGTCTGTTAAGATGGAAGAGCCCAGCAATTGCATAACACTTCAAACTTTAGTACCTGAGGTTCAACTCCGTTCCTTAACACATATTCTTAGTAAAATTATTATTCCTGGTTGTCCTAATTTTAGAGCAATAGCTTTCTTAACTTTAGTTGAATGAAAAATACTGGGTTACATGTAACTCCAAAAAGGCCCAAACATTCTTCATTTGCTGATGCAATAAAATTATTTATTAAAGAACCACACAAACCTCTAACATTTTCTATCATTTTATTTATTATTGCACCTTCCCTAGCCATTACCCTGGCATTTACAATGTGAATTCCCCTACCCACACCATGACTCTTTATCAACATAATATGGAAGTATGCTTTATCCTTGCAAACTCAAGCTTAGCCATATGTACAATCTTATGACTGAGATGAGCATCCAATTCACAGCCCTAATCACAGCAGTACAAGTTGCAGCACAATCTCATATGAAGTAACTCTGGCCATCATTCTCCTGTCATTTATACTTATAATCAGCCCATTTGCTTTATCAACCCTTATTGCAACTCAAAATTTTTAGTAACACTATCACCAACATAGCAATAATATACTTCATCTCAACAGTAGCACAAACAAACCAACAGAAAGAGGAACTTGTATCAGGATTTAATCTACAATATGCTGTGGGCCTCTTTGCCTTATTTTTCCTGGCCGAATACACTCATATCATTATAATAAACACTTTAACCACAACTCTTTTTCATAGGAGTACTCTTCAACCCACCAATCCCTGAAATCTTTATATTCAGTTTTGCATTAAAAACCCTTGTACTAATTTCAACTTTTCTATGAATTCAAGCATTATACCCATGATTCTGATACGACCAACTCATACACTTATTATGAAAAAAACTTTTTACCCATAACACTAGCTTTATATGCATATGACACATCTCCCTGCCCATTGTCATGGCATGTGTACCCCTCAAACCTAAAGAAATGTGTCTGATAAACGAGTTACTTTCATAGAGTTTGTAATAGAGGTTTAAACCCTTTTATTTCTACAACCATAGGATTTGAACCTAACCTTAAGAATCTAAATTTCTTGATGCTACCTTACACATCATGTCCTATTAGTAAGGTCAGGTAAATAAGCTGTCAGGCTATTCCCCAAAAATGTTGGTTTATACGCTTCCTGTACGAATTAATCCCCTAATTGCCTCTACCATCAATTTCACCTCATTTTCAGGAAATTTAATAGCACTATTTAGTTTCCACTGACTACTTACCTCAGTAGGACTAGAAATAAGCATAGTAGCTATTATCCCTATTTTAATTAACAAAGCAAACCCCCAATCCACAGAAAATGCATCCAAATATTTCTTAATTCAGGCTCTAGCATCACCAGTTTTATACACTCAGGACAATGAACTCTAATCAACTCACCCAACCAAATTTCACCCCTAATATTTGCTGTAGTGCTATCAGTAAAAATGGGACTAGCCCCATTTCACCTATGAGATCCAAAAGTTACCCAAGGAGTTCCACTTATATCAGCAGTAATCTGACTACAATGTCAAAAATTGCCCCAATCTTCATTATATTTCAAAATGTTCCCTCAATCAATTTGTCCTTATGACAATGATAGCAATGATAATAATAGCAATTCTGTCTAATGTATGAGGAGGGTGAGGAGGACTCAAACAAACTGATCTACAAAAATCCTAGCCTACTCATCAATCACCCACATAGGCTGAATAATAGCAATCATTGCATTGAATCCCACATTGAATATATTTTATCTGATTATTTACATTATACATACAATCATGTTCATAACAAGAAAACCACCACCCTTTTGTTGAAATAACTTTCAGTCACAACTAGCAGCTAAGAGAAGCTTGGAAGTGCCTAAAATATCCACCTTCCTTCAGGCCTGAGAGGAGCGCCTGCAGGATGGGGTGAAACCACATCCTCAGTACTTGGGTTTGCATTGCCAAATTACCAGGCTAGGAAACTGAGAGTCAGGGGCTTCAGGGCATGAAACCCCAGACTCAGTAAGGGCCAAAGACCCTTCCAGATTGCTTTCCACCATAACAGCAATATTTAGAATTTCCTCAATAGTGCGGTTATATTAGGCAGAAGATGATTGGCTTTTAGATATTGTCTTGCTTGTGTATGATTGACAGGCACACCCCACTTGAACGCTATAACAGTTCTGTGCATTCCAAAAATAAAATGAGCTACTGGAAGTCGACCTGAGGTGAGTCTTCATCCTGTTCTCTCACCAGTTCCCAAAGTCTGTATGTTGATTCCGTGTCTCTACCTGCCCCACCCCACAACAAGGTAGCTGAGTGACCATTGACCACAATGGGACTTAGGAACACATACACCCATTTCACTCTCCAACATATGAAACATATTTCCTCTACTAATTTCAATAATACTTATTGTACTTATATCTCTCTAAGGGAACTTTCCCCACTAACAAAACTCACCCCCAAAATGAATTATTATTAAAGAACTTATATCAAATAGCAATCTCATTATATGTATCTATATCAATACCAATAACAGCCTTATTAAACTTATATTTATATATACGAATTATCTACTCAACATCACTAACACTCTTTCCATCATCCAAAAACACTAAAGTGACAATTCTAAAAACAAAAATAAACCCTCTCATGGCAACTCTCATAATTGCATCAACCCTCTCCCTTCCCCTAATATCTTAGCTATCAATCTTAAACTAGGGATTTAGATTAAATTTAGAAAAAGAGCCTTCAAAGCTCTAAGAAAGTACCAATACTTAATTCCTACAATCAGGAATATTTATCTCACCATCAACCAAATAGAAGTCAATTACTTTAATTAAGCTAAAAGCTATCTTAATTCTCTAGACGGATGCTATTTAAACCTATAAATATTTAATTAACAGCTTAATGCCTAACTGAACTAGCCTCAATCTACTTCATCTGCCCTAAGGAAAAAAAAAGGCTTAAAATCTGTAACATTCTTAGTAGGATAAAATAAATTTTCCCAATATGCCTCTTAAAGAGAAAACTGGTAATCAGAACACTAATGAGAAGGTACAGCTGAAAAAGATGTATTTGATAGTATATGGATAGAATATCAAAAATTTTAAGAAATTTTGATCTAAACTCCTAATCTTAGCTAAAAGATGGAAGAAGTAAGGGGTATTCTGCTACCTAATTTCATATTTGTGACACTTACTCATTTTGTTTGCTTCTTATTTGTGACATTAGTTTCTGATAATTTACCAGAACTTTTATCTCTTGAAGTTCAAAGGAAAATATATACCAAAGTCATATTTTCAGAAATCCAATAGTCTTAATGATTAACTACCTCAGGCTTATTACTTAAAACACTTCATTAAACAGATATCTTCTTGTCTTCCCATTTATTCAGGTTCACAATATATGTAAAAGACTTTAAATCAAACTCTGTTCTCAGTTTTCCAAGACACACCCATGTTTCCTATCTTGCAGTATCTCAAGAGTGACAACACAGCTTTAAAACGAATATTTAAATAACTAAGTACACAAATTTCTGAACCTGAAATTATAGACTATGACATAAAAATTCAGAGTGTATATTTTAAAACACTGCAATGAAAAAGTTTTTGGAAGTTCAAATCATACTATATGGTTTTTCAGACTTTCTGCTTCAAGAAATATTTATTATTTTCCGAAGACATCTAGTCTTTAATTAGATTAAGAGATTTAAATACTCTTAATGGAAAACACTCAAAACCAAAGTACAATACTGTTACAATAGAAATATTGAGAAACAGGTTTAAAATTTCTATTTTTAACAAATTCTCACAGTTTAAATGTAAATATGGAACCCAGGATAGAAATCGAGGAAAAGCTCTCATAAAAAGTATATGACTTGAAAACAAAGTGGCCAAGAAAAAAAACTATATGCAGTGTTCTGCAGAGTGTTCAAATTGAGGGAATTAGGAAAATTTCATGATTCATAAATATTTATTCGATTCATTAAAGATTTATTTTGTCCTGAGTATTAAAAATTATGAAAGCTTATTTAAAAGTCAGTGAATTTATCCAATAATCCTTGACTCAATCTCTACTAATGTAATTACAATGTTTCTACTAATGTAATTTTCTGTGGTTATAGATTTTCAAAAGCCCCTACTTGACTAAAGGATCAGATGAAACATTGATGCTTCCGAAGATAAAAATAAAACACATTGTTAGCAGATAATTTCTCCTAGAACATTTCCAAATAAAATGACAAGAAAAGCATTGCTAAATTGAAAGACTAAACACTTCACAAACAAAATTCACATCAAGAAATGAATTTGACAACAGGGCATTTACCTTGGTGTCAGATTTGTTGTTGCTCTCTTCTGAAGTAGGCTTGGTATCACCAGCACCAGGTTCCTCTGCAAATCTTTAGAGCAAAATTTATTACAAAAATGGGTGAGTCTGGTTTTTTAAAGTAATAAAATCTGGTGAGTGTTTGGATATCATTATATTGAATCAGGTTTTTTCTTTTTCTTTTTTTTAAGAGAGAGAGAATTTTTTAATATTTATTTTTTAGTTTTTGGTGGACACAACATCTTTATTTGTATGTGGTGCTGAGGATGGAACCCAGTGCAGCCCACATGCCAGGCCAGCACGCTACCACTTGAGCCACATCCCCAGCCCCAGAATCAGGTTTTTGACTGAGAGGATTAAAAGAAAACTTTTAAGAAAACTTTTGTTTACCTCTTTCTGCCTTCGCTTTTCCCATTCTATGAAACATTCAGTGGAGTCATACTTAGATCAATTTCAAACAGTGAGAGCCAATATATTAGCCAAGTCTGAGAATCATTTATCTTCAGAAACTACCTCCTGCCCTGAAGGCTGAACTGAAGAATCCAATCAGTGACCAACATAACCTTTGTGGCCTGGACTGAAACAAACCTGATAATGAGGTAGAAAGATATACTACTCCTTCTCCCTTGTCTCTGCCTGGATCAGAGTTGGCTAACTTGATCTTTGGTAGCCTTGGTGCTTTGGCATGGAAACCACTTACAATATGTACCCATTGCATCCCTTTACTCAAAAACAGCACAGGGATTTCCCTAAAACATGTTAATGGTTTGAAAGATGAAGATACACAAGAGAAAAAAAAAATGCATATGTTGTTATTGGGAATTCCTTTCTTAGACACATTAAAACATTATAAATTATATAATTCAATTAATTTCCCATTACAAGTCCTGCCTTATTTCAGGGCCATGAAAGCACTTCAAAATATTCACACACACTCAGGCACTCAGTGGGAATGATTGCCTCTGAGGTAGAGCTGCAAGTGGGACTCTGTTTCCCTAAGTACTATCTAAATAAGTTGTACTTCTGTGTCCTCAGATATCTCAACATTTTCCTTCCTGTGGGCTTCCACTCCCATGTCCTCCTTCTGCAGGACCTTTCAAGCTTAATCCTATAAAGATGTACTTTCCTGAACAAGGTTGGCTTCAATGACCATGAATGGGAGCTGCTCTTTCCTCACTCCTAGAAAACAAGCTAAATGGAGTCTCAGTCACTGGTCTCAGCATAAGCATGTTACCAAAAAATGTCCAAAAGCACAAGCATAATGGAAAGGGGTCCTGGGAAAGTAAGAAGATTCATTAGGAGATCATAGAGCACTTTTCACCACCCACTGAATCCAAGAGGTGAGCCAACCTAGTCTGCCACAGCGACTAACCAAGGCAGCTCCAAGATCTGGTGTCCTTCAAGGGCAGAATAATCATTCACAAACAACCCTGTTAAACACAAGTGAGCTTGCAGAGCCTAAAGGACAGTGACACTGCGCGTGCTCAACCTGAGCTCTCAGAGAAACTCAAGCTCTCTGGAGAGGAGTTTTCTCCTGTAAACACTATGAATAGCTCCAAGATATAATACATCATGATGGACCAGAAATCAATGACATTCAGGGAGGTCTTGAAAAGCTCAGTTGTTTCCCATGAGAACCTCAGGATTTACAGCAAGCCTAAAAGAAGTCACTGTAGATATCTTCAGTGATCCTCCTCCACTCATGATCATCCAGGCTGCCAGTCCAGCAGAGTGCTGACTGCACATGATCAGGAAACCCCATCCACCTGCGCAAAACAGTAATATAGGTGTGGCCAGTGTGGCCAAGGGTTCCTGAAAGTCCTGCCACCTGCTCTCCAATCAACCCTGGACTCCTCCAACCAGATAGGTGGAAGTCTGGGATATAAGGTGGTAAAGGCAGTACTGGAAACAGAACTGGAGGTGCGACAAAAAAGTATGATGTGTTTGCGATTTCAGTAAGTGTGAAATCTCCCAGTGACTGCTATCCTCTCTCAGGGGAAGTACCTGAAATTAGTACAAAGCTTGCAGGAAATCCAGACTTCTCAGCAAATCTGGTTATGAAGATGGTTGGCTGCTTAAAACCACACCGAGTGAGCCTTCAGAAGTTGATGGATGGGTACAAGTGGACCGCCCAAGAAATAAGGAAAATCCTTTGAAGACTAAAATTGGCACCCCTAAATATGCTAGTGTAAAATAACATTAGAAACAAACACTGCTACCACTCAATACTCAGGTAGCAGCTAACAAATGAAGAATGGTTACCAAGCAACCCTGCGCAACAGAGACAGGAGCCATCTTGCCATTTCAAAATGTCCTTGTAAGGGTCCTCAGTAGAGAACATATATACATAAGTCTACACTGATGCAAATGGATTCCAGATTGTGTTCAAAGAATTATTTTTGCCCTTAAGTTGCTATATTATGGGAAACATTTTGTCTCATGCTGCACTTTCCTCAATGTACATAACATTTTTTAAAAAATGTGTACATTAAAACAAAGTGCTGGTACAAAATTTTGTGATTTAAATCCCTTTTAAATAGTCAATCAAGCATTTATAGGATGAATTTTAAGTGGCTGGGAAGCAAGCTAACTATTTTGTTTGGCTGCTCAATAAGAACTCCTGGATGGGAGATGTCTCCAAGGTCTATAGATCCCAGGTGTTGAGGAGCCTGGGAGCACAGGAAAGTCAAGCACCTGGTGAAAGAAGAGTTGGCCTCCTTTCCCTCTTGCCGCCCTGGGCCCAGTGGGAAAGGTGGAGCCTTCTGCCTTACTGGCCCTGCCTTCCCTGGTCAGCACCCTATCCCTAGGATGCCTAGTCCTATGGACATTATTACCTGTTATTTTTATCTCGGTCGTCCATGCCAGCTTCTCCATGAGTCAAGATGTGGTTCACTTTGTTTACATCTCCCTCTAACGCCCCTCTGTGGATTCTCATGTTAGCTTTATAGGGAAAGCTCATTTTACTCAGGCTCCTCCTGAATGACCTCTCGGTTCTGACTAACTTAGAGGCCATAACCAGGCCTCACAGCCCCCAGCCTTATATTCTGGGGCTTTTCAAGACTTTTTTTTCAGTCACAGAATAACCAACCTAGTCTCACCAGGTACCTAGTCATGGCTGAGCCACTCAATACTCAGGTAGCAGCTTATAAATGAAGAATGGTTGCCAAGCAACCCTATGCAACAGAGACAGGAGTGGGCATGAGCAGCTTCAATAGCCACGCCCATCTTGGAACCCTGTGCTGAGGGCTGAATTTATCTTGTGGCTGGACTGGCCGATCAGGTTAGGTGCTTACTGACTGCTCAGGACCAGAAAACCCCCGCCCACCTGTGTAATGGCCAGCACCTGAGCGTACAGCATAGTCAAGAGCCTCTGGAAGATCCACCATCTGTCTCAGTCAGCACTGGGCCCTTCCACCCAGAAGTTGGTGGAGGTCTTGGAAGATGAACCTCCCAGTTCTTTTTCCAGTACTGCCACACCCAGAGAAACATAGATGTAAAGCTGAAGATTGGTGGGCATTTTCTAAAGGTCTCCAATTCTGGTGAAATCCAAACAATCAAGACTCAATAAGAAATTTTTCCACTTTGGCCTGGATTGTTACATACAGCACTAATATCAATTTTGATCTTACATACTACTTTTTATTTTGAATCAATACATGTTCATCTTTTATCAATATTACACCCTCATCAATATTTGATTGCCTCTTAGTCCCACTTTCCCCTCTACCATTATCTGCTACTAACACAAATTCCTCCAGCCATCTTTTCTTTTTAACTTGGTTTGTATTATTCATTTCTATTTT